CCAGTTAACAGTTGAACTCCTGATCCTCAGTCATTAGGTCCCTTAACATGCAAGGCAACAAAGTCTATAATAGAAAAAACATCACACCTAGTATTTACAAATCTCAAATTACTTACAGGCAGTACTGAAAAGTAGGACCATATTCAGTACCAGCTCCGCCTTGATTATCTTCTCACAACTGCAAAAATTTTATAAGCTGAATCAGATATACATTCAAGATATCATGTTATCATATATTGACCTCTTCACATAATTCAGTCCCTAAACTTTGACACTAAAGTAAGTCACTTACTTGAAGTGTTTGACCTTGCCAAGGATATAATTTCATACCAGTAGTGACTATTGTCAACAAAGTACAATACCTCATCATGAGGAACAAGGCAGTCACAAAAGAATGTTTTGCCTTCCAGAGAAATTGATACTTATGATGAAAAGTCAATAAATAGTCATAGCCACAGAATACTGGCAAGATGAGTCAAGAACCACCATTGCACTTGACAATCACAGAAGGCAAACTTGCAGCAGACAGATAGATGTATTAATATATCACAAGACTATTATGATGATAGTCAGGATTTCTCGCAGCACCAGGTGAAAGAGACATACTATTGCAAGGCAACTACTATATCATCCGTCCCTACCGGCAGCGATGATATCAATGACATAAGAATTTCCTCAGGCTCCAGAAAAAGAGGATGTAGTGAGAGAGACTTCAGAAGGATAAACGAGCGGTCTTGCTACGCCTCCCCCGCGTGTTATATGGGCTGCAGACGAACACTGATGACAGGTTGACAGGACCCACTGATCAAGATGGGAGCATCATAATCAGATACCGGAAGTTGTATGGACGCGTTCATCGTTTACGCATAGATTGGGGCGCATTAAAGGTTGAGACGAAACGCACAGTTGCACTGTCGCGCGCACAGCATTGTAGAATGTTAGAGCTCTAAGACTCAAACATTTCAAACTCTGTGTACGAACTTAAACATATAAGATCCTCGTATCGTCCCAGCAATTTGTCTGATATGCTTGCCAACGGCTCCTTGTCGCGCACCACGCTGACAGCTCATCATAATGCTCAGTGTCGCATCCTAGCGTCCGTCAAGTCTCTTGTTTCTCATACTCGTGTGAAGATGTCATCTTGCCGTAAAAAAACGTCTGCTACTATCATTGCACCAGTAATGCAACTTTTTCAGTATCTGGGCTCCCTGTAGTGCAAATCTTACCAGAATGTTTCGGAGTTTTCACCAGTCGATGCAGAATGTTCAAAAGTGAACACGTGAATTTCATAGGCTCAGTATGTCTAGAATTAAGCAAGACCGAGAGCAAAATAAAATCGCAACAGTAGTGCAACTTTTCTCCGAGGTACGTCACGTCAACCGTCACAATGGTGTGCATGCCGTTTTCTTTGTCCGCCCGGCGTTCAGTGGCTGGACTGCGAAGCTATGCGAAGTACGCCGCTACTGTACTACCATCAGCTGAGTCAAGATTCATGATGGCTGAAAGTCACAGTTTTGAGTCGCTATCGTTCGACACAGGATTCAGGAGGGGATCACTATGCGGATTATTCCGGAGAAATTAGAATAAGAGTGTGTATGTTCTTCACATGGCCATGATGCGTTATTGTGTCGATCGGACATGGTGATTGCCTACCCGAGGCCACTCTTGATTGAGATGTAGTCCTCAAAACACATTTGCGAGGCATTTGAGTCACTCTCGTATTTTTCATTCATACGAAACCTACACAGTAGTGATCATACTTGTATTTTGTATCATATATGATTTATTGGTATTTTTAGAGGAGGAGCAGCTGTAAGTTCAGTAATTGCACTACTGTTGCGATTGCATTACTGGCGCAATGATAGTAGGTGCATACAATGCACGAGACGTAGTGATGCAATCAGTACAAGTTGATTACAAGATGCACAACAAAATTCTAAATACAACTTTCAGCACCTGCGCATTTCTTTCTTCGCATTTAATTCGTACAGCGACGCCAAGACGTTCACCTTCAACCCTGGGACGAACCGATAACTACAATGACGCGAGATTCGTGATCGGCCATTCACTATTAATTTCAAGAGAAGTAACAAGAGGCGTCAAGGTTAGAATCTCGCAAAAAAAAAAAAGGACCAAAAGCCAAGCTCACTATTCAGCCACGGTCCGTTTGAAGCCGTACTTGCCAATGAATGCCTCCAGCTCTTTCGGACCACGCGAACCATACGGATACGATACTGGGTGGGGAGCCGGGCCGTTCTTGCCGTCAATCCAGTGCAAGATAGGAGTGAAGATCTACCGAGAACTAAGGATATGATCTATGAAATCGGGAATTGATATGCGCACCTTCCAAGCAACATCCAGCTCGTCATCACGCACGAAGTTGGAATGGTCACCCTTGAGCGCATCGAGAATAAGAGACTCATAAGCCTCTGGAATCGCCGCCTCCGCGAATCGCCGCTTATACGTAAGGTCCATCTCCGTTGGGATTGCACGAGTGTGTAGACCAGGGGTTTTCGTGTTGAGCTTGAGGTACACGGCCTCAGATGGCTGAATCCGAATAACGAGCTCATTGCGCGAAATATCCTTAAAGATACCTTTTGTTACGTCCTTGAACTGTATCCGGACTTCTACTTTCGCCTCATTCAAAGCTAGTATACGAACTAGGTGAGGAATATTCCCCTATAATAGGACAGACTGCACCTTTTCCTGCCTTCAAAATGAAGGGAACACCCTCCCACCTTGGGTTGTGGATCCACAGCGTTGTTGCAGCGAACGTGGGACAGACCGAATTATGGGGAACGGTATCATCATCGAGATACCCTGGCTTGCCATTCGCAGCCACATACTGTCCCAACAGTGTGTCACTTCGTTCGATAGGAGGAATTGCACGCAAGACTTTGACCTATCTCAACGATGAGCAATACGCGATAGAAGATGAAAACAAGCACTTCACCTTCTCGTCACGGATGTCCTCGGCAGCGAACGAAACAGGGCGCTCCATGGTAAGAATACTCAGTACTTGCAATAGATCTGGATGATAAACCGTAAGCAACACCATAAACAATCTCAGACAAACAGATGCATACGGTTCTGGAGGATGTCACGAATGATACCAAACTCATCAAAATAGCCACCACGACCCTCAGTACCGAATGGCTCCTTGAAAGTGATCTGGACGTTACTGATCGAGTTCTTATCCCAGAAGGCATTGAACGCGACGTTGGCGAAACGCAATACCAGGAGGTTCTTGGTCATTTCTTTCCCGAGATAGTGGTCGATCCGGAACGTCTCGTCCTCGGTCCAGTGCTGCTTGAGCGCACCCAAGAGCTCGCGGGATGAGTCGAGGTCTTTTCCGAACGGCTTCTCCACAATGATACGGCACTTGCCAACATCAGGGGTAACGTAACATTGCTCCTTGAGATGTTGTCCGACAGGGATGAAGACACTGGGCGGAAGCGCGAGGTAGAATACACGGTTGCGTTCCTTCACCCCGTAGCTAGATTCGATCTTTTCGAGGTGCTTGTTCAGGTTCGCGAAGGACGGTGAATCTTCGTACCCGCCAGAAATGTACGTGGAAAGCTTCTTAAACTCCTCAAGCTTTGCAGACACTTCCGGATCGTTGTTAGGGTTCTTAATATACGCGGTGATTCGCTTGTGGTATTCCGCATCGTCCATTTTTGTCCGCGCATACCCCACGATGTGAACCCCTTTCGGAAGGAAACCCATGCGATAGAGCCCAAAGAGAGCAGGATATGTCTGTGATCGAAATCAGAACATGACAAAAGGTGTGAGAGCGAGAGCATCAAGAAAGGTGAGAAAGGGAGATGTCAGTATAGCGGTACGACCGTCCCACGGTGACCTCTGGCAAATCCTCGGAATCCCGCACGTAAACGCAAGAAACTGGAACTAAAATGAGCAAGGCCTATAGCAAGTCCGGCAGTGCATCTACAAGAAACACTCAGTCGCTAATGCTACCCCTCACGACAGTGAGCAATGAGGCCCGACGGTTCCTAACATGCATATCATGATGGAGCCCTTATCATGACATATTATGATGCTCAGTTGCCGAACAGAAAAAAGGCAGCAGCAATCTGACTTGTCCTTGGACGCTAGAGGTCATGGTCGAAATGGACGAGAGTCGCGCGCGCGACCATAGGAACAGCCTCCACTGTAGACAGTCCGCAAAGAGCGAGAGACGATCACTCACCTTCTTTTTCGCGAGATCCCCTGACGCGCCGAGTACTGCAAGTAAAATTGGGACGTGTTAGCACTATACTGTATTCCGATGGACTATCAAGTGCACCGATGATGATTGTGTTATCCTTGAGCTCATCGTGGGCTGTCTCCATGGAGGGGATGGTGCCCGACATTGCGCGCGGACGAGTGGTCATTTCGAGAGAGACTGTTGGGTCGAAGGAGTGAGATGGTGAGTGGAAAGAGAGAGAGGAGGACGCGTACGGTGGGAGTAAGGTGTAAGAGTCGGGGATTATCAAGGGAGATTATTGAGAGCGCTTGCTGAACGAGCAGCTTCGAATCCCATGTCCGATGATTATGACCATCAGCATGATGCAACCCAGACATCCCGTGCTCGGCCCGCAATCTGCCGACCCCCGCCGCTCACCGGGTCCTCCCACGCCCCCGACCTTTCTGCCGCCACCATGCCCGACGCCCCCGCCACCCACACTCTCCCTCCCACTTCCGACGCCGTCGTCGACAGCCTCTGCGACCTCGTTTCCTCCTCCTACCTCAACCACGACCCTACCGTTGTCCACATCCACGCCGGCGCCCTGTTTGCCCGTCTCAAAGCCCTCAACCGCGCTGCCAATACTGTCACCCGCGCACACAAGCAAACTACTGCAGATGCCCGCCATGACATGGATCAGACCCACCTTTGGCTACAAAACCTGCTGTACGAGAAGCGTCATCTAGAGCGGGAGATTGACAAGTGTCGCCAGTTCGCGTACGTCGTTTATATTCACCAGCTAACCGTACGCGCTCTAACACCGTCCACAGCTCGGTGTACCAGGACATCCCGCTCTACTCTGTAGAGGAATTTACTCAGCTTGCTCCAGAGGAGGCACGAACCCCGGATGTTTTGGCGGACGAACACCAACTGATGCTGAATCGTCTTAGCTTTGAACTCGCCGAAAGGCAAAGGTGTGTCTAATTTTTCCCAGAACCATTGTGTCCTCTCAACATACATCCTAGGTTAGAGCAGAGGCATAAGGAGCTCATGAAAGAGAAGGAAGATCTACTCAAGGAGAGCAAGACCAAGTTCACCACTATGGACAATGTCAAGGCTCAGATTGACTCTTTAATCAAGGTCAGTGCATCAAAAACTATAGGACTACTCTACTAACCGCTTCGGTCGTCTGTAGACTGCGACCGAAGTTCAGAAGAAAGTCAGTGACTTGGTACAGCCAATACAGCCTGTTGAGGCAACACCAGCACCAAGCTGAGCATTGGAGTGTCCTGCACTTTGCATGTAACATGCCAACCACATCATCGCACCACGCGCGTTTAGGGTAATCGCACACCCACGCATCGTTGCCACATTGGAATTCGTAAAGTCGATTCATTGTGTTGAGCAGGAATCTACATTGCCCTCAAACGGCAGCGATAGGAGTTCGTACAGATGATTTACAGACAGCTACGGAGGGGAAGGGAATGGGCAGCAATACATACACCAATTTGTGAGCAGGAAAGTGGAACGAAGGGTTCGTGCTATATAACATCAGCGTGGTAACCATGAGAGAACACATACAAGCGATCCATGCGAATAACTGAGACAGCAAGTGGCGACGAAGCGACACGGGCAGGTTGATGTTTAAGGCTCCATGCCGTCTTCGTCCTCGCTGATACTGCCGACATCGCTCATCTCATCGTCCTCGCCGTCTTCATCCTCCTTTTCTAATGCGGCGTCGGCAGCTTCCTTTGTTGCAAAACGTTGTACATATTCTGCAGCGCATGAGCACTAAAGGAATAGTTTATAGGGAGATGATATGCATACCCTTAACCTTGCCATCATACTCCTTTGGATGTCGCATAAGCAGCGCGGCTGCCTCGCCATTCAGTGGATCATTCGGGTTTGGATAACGCAAGAGCTGTGGCAGGAAGACTTCAAAGATGTTAATCATGTCTACAGCAACACATAAGCTGCGGATCGGCGGTTGTTAATCATGCATATCCATCCACTTACCGAACATAGGCGACCACGTCTGGTTGATGACATCCAGACATACGGAGCCGCTGCTATGGTGCAATGGACACTTATTAGTATGGCAGGTTTAACGATGTAACCGTACATACGCACAGCTCGTCAATGTTCGGATGGAATATCTTGTTCATGAATCCGATGCTAGGCGACTTGAACGGATATTGATCGGGTAGCTCTACGTGAATCTTCCAGACGCCGCCGGCGAACGGTGCTGCGAAACACTCAGGATACAGATGGACTCGGTAGAAAGGCACTCACTTTCTGCAGGCCCGTAGAAACGAACATAAAATTCTTGCATACTATCGTTCACGAGGTTCACCTCGTAGTCGGACATCAACCTAGAACCAAACGACCACTCAATCCTGTGCCAAAACTGGATTGTGCCAGCAAGCACGCTCTACTCACAGTTTCATGACGTCCGTCTCAATACGACGCTTGCCTGGCATACTGTGAATACGCAGAGGTTGTTAGCTGGGACTGAGAGACCGGTAGAATGAAACTTATCATGATGCGTGAGTTCTGGAGTGAATACGGTAGGAGCGGGCGACAGCGATGGTGATGAGCACTTAAGCGGCGAGTTGGACAGGACGGAGGGGGGTAATGGGGAGGATAAGGGCTAGTGTAAATGTGCTTCGCCACCGCCTGAAAGCGAATATGGCTGAGTCGATCGCTCCGGATATCGTCTCCGTCACGGCGGCGGGTGTCTCCGGAGTTTCCGAGTTTCTATTTCGGGGCAGCGGGAGACTCGCCCTGGTCCGCGACCTCAGTTCACCTCGCCGCCAAATGTCGTACTCTTTGCCTAGGATCGTCGGGTAGCTTACCCATATCACGGATCTTGTCCTATATAGACCTCCAATGGGCAATGCTGGGTTTCTGGAGGACTGAGGCGCAGCTAAACCCGTTTCATGAGGAGGCCGTCACGTTCAGCCTATCTGTGAGCCTGTCCGCTGTCGCATGTCTCATGCCGCTGCGGTGTGTTTCTTTTACCAAGCTCGGACATTGTCCAAGATCTCGTCGCTCGTCAGCGTCATTCCCAAGTACATTTCATTCGTATGCCAACTGGTCTTTACGTACGGCTACCCTTGGCTCACGTTATTCCCTGATCCTATGGAGGATGACTTGTAATATGTGCGTCGATAACTACAGATTACAAACCAGTTGCGCCTGCGCTCTCAAACCCGTTCAAATAGATTCCAGCGTCTTGAACATCCGCTGTCGTGTTTTTGCCTCAAAACCAATCCCACTCCTCCACTACGCAATATACGGCGTCGCTGGAACAAGGGTACGTTCTCCGGCCACTCCTGAATCCAGGCTCCATCTTTCTCCCGTTCTGTCGCGCTGCTCGCGTCGTATCTGACAGTGACACCCCACTCCCCGCATTTGGCCCAGGCGCGCCTTGGTTCAGGGCTTTCCATGCAATCATGACGGCTATTGCATCAACACATTGTGAACAGTCGCATCTTTCTACCCGTACGTCTCACAGCGTATGAGAACTCACCGAACCAGAATACTCCAAATGCGCCGATGAGGATCATCTCTTCCTGTGTTTGCGAGAGGAACCGCCCGTTTTGTCTATGATGCATCACGACGCTGCAGATGTCCCAATTCCACGAATTCGAGATGAATACTGCCCTGAGCTCGCAATCATGACGTATGACTTACAGGACTGACACGGAGGCTAGTGCGAGCAGAGCCACTGCTGTTTGCATGAGGTTAAAAGTATCTAATTATTCAAAAGCAAAGGTTGGTGACTCTCTTCACAGCTGAGCGAGGATTTGATCTGTAACACACGCATCGTATGAGGGATGAGCTGCGTCAATAAATGTGCCCCATAGGCGATTATTACCGCTGGCGCATACAACTCCTTCGTCAGCAACGCTCGCTTTCTCTGCTCAACGTCGATGTCGCGTACCTAAGCCGAGCGACCGCCCTGTATGGCCTCGAAACAACTGCGGCATGGTCAATATTGTCACTGGTGCTAGTATGGATCAATGGATTGTGGCAGAGTCAAAAAGAGGCTGGCTCGTCTACGATGCGATTTCCTTCCCTCTTCACCTAGATGACTTACTGCACGCACGCGGTTTCCGCTCGGCCTACTCGTTCCACATCGCCATTCTCGTGCCTTGCCTCGCGGTGTCCGCACGCACCCAGTCTAGATGTCCGTCGAAAGATCGCACGGGCGTCATGAACACCTGATCAGTCAGTGTCGGCACATTTAGCATGTGCGCAATAGATATATGTACACATCCATCTACAGGTTCATGGCACCTCGCCGTCGGTTCGCCATCACCCCGTATCGCATCAATTGATACACGCTGTTCTCGATTTCGCTACATTAGTGCCCCTATTTATCCCGCCCTTCGTCCATCATGCATTGCCTCCGCTTTGTGAACATCTGGTCGTAAGCGCGCACACGTTGGTTTGATCTATAGGTTCCAGGGAAAATGTTCCATCCTTTGGTGCCTTCTGTTCTAGTACATCAAGCACGCGGCGCAAACGTGGTATTTTACTGTATAGCGTCCACGGCATGTGTTGTAGCCGAGCATAGATAGGTAAGTAAACGTCTCGTTAGTTGTGCTGCCGCTAATGGAAATGATGAAGCGCAGTCTGCGCTCAGACAGAGCTCACCGAGCCGGGAACCTGTGTAACCGACGGCATGCCCCCTGTTGCACTGGGC